CCTGTAACAAACTGGAAATGCAGCCAGGCACTGGGAGGAGCCAGTGCTGTGGAAGCTGGAGAAGGAGAATAGATCTAGGGAGGAGATTCTGAGCTGAAGACATGTATCTGTTTTTTCTAATATTTCTCACAATTTCAGTAAAGAAACTAAGACTAACAAATATAAGACCTTTCTTTACAAGCCTTGCTTTCCTTACATATAGGAAACTAGGAAGAGAGAAGAAAAGGGAAATTAGGGTCAGCGATATGAGAAACCAGATACGTGGCTAAATATACGGAGATCCTCTCACTGGAGTAAAAAATGACAATCAGTGGCTGAAGTTGTGTCTTTATAGGAAGAAAATTACCCAGCTAAAAGTATTACTAGAGAGGAGAAGTTAGTTTTCTTTGTGGTGTAGCTAGATGTTAACTCTGAAAATAAAGACACATTTTCTTTCTTCATCTGAGGAAAGGAACGCCTGAATCTTGCTTATGACAGAATTCCATAGGACAGTGTTTGGTGGTCATTCACTAGATGTATAATGAAGACAGTGTGGTAGCTTTAGATTTGACCTGTCTAAATTCTGTGAAAACTAGAAGCTACCTTTGTCTTTATAAAAATTTTAAGTTGAGAGTGAATACTATGGGGCTCAAACGAGGCCTCAATAAAGAGAAGTGAAGTTCTTTTAATTGCAGAAAAAATGTGGCCCGGAAATGGAAGTATAAGTTAATATACGTAGTTGTGTTAAAAGCTTGGAAATGCAGAATGAGCAACAGGGAGAGGAAAGGAGAGAGTCTGACAGAGAATATGAAAGACACTGGAGAAAGAAAGGAAATGATAAAAAAAATGCATGATAGGAAGTGAACAAAAGAATTGGGGAAAAAAGGCTGGTATGACTTGAGAGACAAGAGTTACAAAATGAATAAAAATGAATTAAAAATTGTGTTAAAAGGATGCTGAAGTTGGGAGGAAATCTGTCAAACATAATGCTAATGGTGAAGGAGAAAAAAGCACAGTGTATAATTGTCTGTTACACAGTCACAAATACCTAATTGTCACCAAAAATAAAACCCCAAGAAAAAAAAAGTACTATTCTAAGAATGAAGTATAACATTTTTACTTGCAGAAAGTTCTCTGTCAGAAGGATTTGGTAGTGATAAGACAGCAGAGCTGTGTGTGTGTGATTTTTTTTGTTTGTTTGTTTTTTTTCTCCTTCCCAAACCTGTCTAATAAGTTTAGACTGTAGTAAGTTGTTATTCATATTCTGAACTTTGTTGCTGTGCATATTAGGAGCATTGAGCAGGTGTGTAAGTACTTGTGCTATAAACTGCGTTATTCCTCAGACCGATTGATGTCAGGTTAACTTTAATACTTTGCATTTAATTACGGAGTTCTAGTTGCCTTTTAACTATTACCGAACTGCAAAGGCTGCTGTAGAAGTTTCAAAATACTGCTTATGTTAAAAAGTGTGCTGAAATGGAACTTCAGAAGAATTTATATGACACACAAATGCAGATGGATAAGCTCTCCTTTTTAACCTTGCTCTGTATTTCTTGTAGAAGTACTTATTTTCAACAACAAAAAAACCCAGCCTATCTTTTATGCTGAATGGAAGCCTATGATTTTTTTAAAGTTAACTCTAGAATGTATGGCTATTATATTGTTACCCTTAATAATTTTTATTTCATAGATTTTTGTAATATGAGTGTTTCTCCTCCTACCCACCTCCCAGCTCTAAGTCAAAACAGGGTAAATACTCATATTTTGTGGGCGGGATTGTGAATAAGGGAGCCTGCTTCTTAGTCTATAACCAGCTATTTGGTCTTGAGTAAGCCAGTTGTTAATTGCCCTTTGCTAAATTCTTGATCAGTAAAAAGAAAATATTTTTGACTGATTAAGAAGTACTTTGAGATCTTTAGAAGAACTGAGAAAAAACATTGAAATGACTTCACTTATAGCCATTTACTGATTTTTTTGTAGCCGTTTACTTATTTACATTTAAACATTTACTTTTTTTTTTTTTTAAAGGAAAACTGGTTATATACATTTTTCAGTGTACATGTAGCACTGTTTATATGGGCGAACTGGAGGTAATGAATGGACACAAAGCATATTTAGAGAGTAGTATGTTCCAAATTGTTTTTGGCTGAAATTCATGTTGTTTATTTACCTGCATACTTGATTACTATTCCTTTCATTCACTGCGTGTTTAATTGCTGTCTAATTAATTGCTCTGTTGATTTTCTACATAATTAATTATCCACTACTTAATCATTGATTCCCTGCTTAGTTAATTGACTTATTACTTATTTGATTTTTGCATTAATTGACTGTAATTCAGTGCTCTGTTGCTACATTACCTAATTAGAAACTGTTAATCAGTTATCATTTGCTTTTTCCTGATATAGTTGTTCAGGCCCATGATCAGCAGAGCTTGGCTTCTGTTTTTGGCTTCTGACTTTCTCTTCCAGTCATTCTTCCTAAACTCATTTCTTTCCTCTACTTGGTTTTCCATCTCACTTCTAAGGAAAGCACATGTGTCTTCTGCTTGCTTCTCCTGATGGTTTCTGTGCCTCCATGCCTTCACTCCTACTGTTCTCTGCCACCTGGTTTATTTGTTTCTGGTTTTGTTCAGCTTCACTTCTCTTTGAGGGTTTTTTTTTTGTTTTATTTCTGTTTTTTACTTTGTATGATTACTGAAAGCTTCTTAGAAAAAGTTTAAGTATGTGTTTGTATTATCAGGTACTTCAAACAACCAATCTTCTGGGCGTTCTTCCTGCTCTTCTGCCCTTCACCAAATCCTAACTGAAAGCAGTGAGAAATAAGGTGCTGTGTGAGTACAGATTAAAACTTTTGAAGGAGGAGATAGGAGACACAAGGCAGTGAGCCTGAACGTTTAGGGGAAAAAAAAACCTAGCATGTTAGAAAGCAGAGATGGTGGCAGATGACAAGACCTCAAAACAGATGTCATCCGAATAGCTAATGTTTAGTATTAAACTTTTTGATAAATATTCCTAATTTTTTTCTTTTTGTAGTGTGAATCTTATATATGAACATACGTTTAGGCGGAACATTTCTTAGTCAATAATGACCCTTACAACTTTTTTTTAATGAAAGAGTAGTACTAAACAGCTATAGCAGAACTGATTCAAAGGGACCTTTCCATTATATACATACTGCAATTAAAATAAAAATGTGTGTGAGCTCAAGACGGCCAAATGGCTGAGAAGAAACCCTACTGAGCTTGTAAGAGTACATTGAGCATATTATACTTTTTACATAACTGCTTGTATACGTAATATATGGTACATGTGGGAGGTACTGTAGATAAACAGAAACAATATTTGAGGTATTTTTCAGAAATATTTCAAGAGATACTCTGCCTTTTAGTTTTGAGGTAGTTTTATTAGAGATGAGGAGTTTTATTACAGTTTTGGTGCACATAACTATTAAAAGAGAGCCAACTCTCCTGTTCTTAATGTCCAGAACTCCCTAAGGATTCATTTTTCTGGAGTGAGATAAACCATGTAATTAGTGTGTCATGAAAGGGAAAGGAAGGGAATGATGTTGATTGAACAGGGTTAGTGATCTTCATTTGGAATTGTTTTGAAAAAAGGGTACCTGAAACACAGCTTCCCTCTTCTTTCCCCTAAAAAATCACCCCAGACCTCACAGGCTTTCACTTTGTTTCTGTACTTACCTGGCAAAGAGATGGTTTGGTGTGTACTCCAAACAGTATTGTTATTTTTCGTGCTGGTGGGAGTTAGTGTATGTATGTCCCTCATTTTCCTTAGGAGGCCTGAGGGAAAGGAGGAATTGAAGCAGATCCCTGGGCCAGAGGTTTATGTATGTAGCTGAGGAACTAGCACACTGTTAAAATCAGCTCCTAGTTGTTAGATTTCATTGGACACAGGAGGGAGCTGAGCCTATTGACAAATCAAAACATTAAAACAAATTATACAAGTTTTAAAATGCAAACAGAGTCTCCTGAAGTAATTCTTTTCCAAAAGTTTAGGAATATTTTTTTAGGTTGTTTTTTTTCTCAGTTATTAACTTTGCAGTATGTATTAATCCTTCTTTTTTGTCCTTTACTCTCTTATGACTTTGCTTTTTGTTTCACAGTACATGTCTACTTTACGTGAATTTAAAAAGTCAAAACTGTTTTCAAAAACAGTCTGTTCAATTTCAGTGTTTTTAATGTAATTCTTCATTTACTCAAAATTTATTGGCTTTAGGGCTTTAGGGGGATTTTGTTTTGTGAATCAGCATTTTTTCATAAGTCCTTTAAGTCAAAGGATGTGTGAAATACAGTGTTTTATATAAAATGTTAACATTACCTCTAGAATCAATACGACATGTTTTATTTTGAGAATAAATCTTTTCCTCCTTCCCCTCCTTAGGTTTTCCTTCTATTCCTGCCTTTTTTCTCTGTGTAGATGGCACAAGATAAGGCCTAATTCCTCTTCCCTTCCCCCACCCCCAAAAATTGATTAAAAGAAGAAAAAAAATTGTGTTGATACAGCTCTGAAGTGAACGGGCAGGAGAAACTAAGATGACGTGATTGTGTATGTGTGACTGTGTCATATGGTGCAACATTTTGTGGCCTACATTGTTGCAGCCTTCCTCCCCCCTCTTTCCTTATTGTAGAGCCACATCTATAGATAATTACTCCTGACAGCATTCACTTAACACTTTAGCTTTTTTACTGCACCGTATGCTGCTGATAATATGTTAAGGTAAAAATGATGCATCAGAAGATGTTTGCTAATGTTGTTTGATTTTTAACAAAATGTTACTATAGTAAAGGACAAGTTTCCTCTTGCCTTTTATGATATTTAATTCTCCTTTTTCCTTTTTCTTTTTTTTTTTTTTATTTTTTCCTACCCTTTTTTTTTTTTTTTTTTGCGGCAGCAGCAGTTACAGAGGTTGAAAAATTTACTAAGTTCTTAAAGAACTCTAATTCTCTAGGTAAGGTGGTTTAAAAGGGTGTATATGTGTAAGAAAGAGCAATGAGGCCCATAAACATAAATTGGATGTGCAGCCCAGCTTTTCTGTCCTGCAGAGTCACTTTGGAAGCATAAAATGCTTTGTGTTTATACCAACATGTTACACATTGAACCTATGCAGTGACTTCACGTTTTATATAATTTTCCGTTTTTCACTTTCTGAGACTGGAAGGGGAAACACGTTTTTTTGTCTATCCTGCTTCTTTTTAAGTCTTATTATTTCTAAAAAGATTTGAGCAAGGAGGAATTTCTTGCGCTGTGAAGATCTGGTTAGAAGTTTTAAACGTTTCTTAAACTCTTTAATTTTGTGATTCACCGTGAATGCATTCATTTAATGCTGTAGCATTCTTTACTTAAGCTAGTTACTATCTGGTTTGGGTAAACAGAAACAAAATCTCAATAATTAGTGGTATTTTAAAGAAGTCACTAAAATTTGGAAATATTAACTCTTGTCTTTAAACTTACTTTTCAGGGGTCAATTCCATCTTCATGTGTAAGCTTTGTAACTTATTTTCACCAAATCAATCAGAATTATTGTCTCACGTCTCTGAGAAGCATGCAGAAGAAGGGACTAATGTGGATGACATCATTATTCCGCTCCAACCACTAACAGCACCCACAAATATAAACAAAAATGGAGAAGGTACTTTCATAAATTGGGAGGAATGTAACTTTCAATCAATCATATGTTTTTAAATGAAGTATGTGATGTGATGATTTTAAATTGTATATAGAATGGTTTACATAGCTTATTTCTATAATGGTCACTATATGCTGCCGGCCTGAATTTCATTCAGTGCAAAGTACATTGGAGGAAGAACTTGGATAAACCCTGCATGTGGCAGGGGATAATTACATTGCTTCATTGATTTAAAATGTCAAGTATAGCAAAGTCTGCTTCTTAAGGCTTTAATTTGAAGCTCTGTGATAACAATGGAAATAATATTACTGCTAAACAATTAAATTTTCGATGAAAAACAGCTGGTGCACCGGAGCTGGGGGTGGAGAGGGATGTGGATCTTGAAGCTTAAGATAGTGGCATGCTTTGAGTTGTATAAATCTTTACTTGTTATGTTTCAGATAATATTAATAATTCTATTCAGAAAAATAGATTGCATGATTCATAATTTACAACCTTGCTTTGATATTGGTGCTAATAAATAAAGTAATCTGGTAATCAAAGGTTGAATTAGTTACACGGAACAATTTCACTCAACGATGTAAGAAGTCACATTGATTACCATTTTGAACTGATTATAATTACAGTCTCTTGTATTAGGGGAGGGGTTCAAACTAATTCAGACTTCATAATTACATCTTCCTTTAAACCCTTATTGTGCAATGGTTTTATATTGTTAGCAAACCTCTTATTTAACACAACTACTGTGATTTTGCAAGTACCTAATCACTATGATTGTTGGATTTCACCAAGTGTGTATTTATAATTTAAAGAAAAGGAAAAAAAAAAAAAACCTAATGTCATACTTTAAAGAATACTTTTCTTATTGTTAACATATGCATATGGTGTATCCTCATTTACTCACCAACAGTAATTCAGTAATTTTCATTAATATAGGAAGATACTCTAATAATGGTCATAGGGTATTAAACTATAGCTGCCATCTCCTCAGATGGTTGGTGAGGAGAAAATTGCTCCAGATCAACATTTCATACAACGCCTGTAACTAACAGTGCATCAGAAGAGGATGAATAAATATCAGAACTTCATCAACTTTCAGAATGCGTATTTATCCAATTTTACTTCAACTGTACAGTATGAATACCTCACTCAATCCATTTTCCTTGCTTTAAATCTTTGTTTCCAGGTAACCCTTCACTCAGAAGTGTTTCTGAGGACAGTGAAACTGATACTTTGTAACATATTCTCACTCCTTTTACAAATAAGGCAGTTCTGTAAACTATTTCTGCGTTTGTGCCCTATTTGTATTGTATTTTGCCAAGCTTACGTTTACAGAATTACGTTTTACATTTATCGGAATAGTATGTAGCTCTTGTAATGATCTGAGGCAGCAGAAACTAGACCAGTGCAGCTTTAAGAAAATAGCTTGTGCAAATCTAATTATGTAAAATATAACATCATATTTTTAGTTATCTTTTTTTATTAAGCTTGATGAATATTTTACATCATCTCACATGATCATATTGCATCACCTTTTTCAGATTATGTAGTCCAACTCTGCCATCTGCTGTGAATAAGAATATGTAGGTAAATTACTTTCAACATAGATTTCAACTTATAGTATAGGAATATTATGATACTTCTCCTTTTCCCTCATGCAGAATGATCTGAGGAGAGGATAATTTGTTCTGAGGGCCTTCTGAATTCTTTCCCATATTCTGTTTAAAAATTAGCATGTTTCACACTTGAATATAGGGTTTTGAAGAGATCCTCTTTCAAGGCATTACCTTTTCCCCTGCTGTTATGGAATCTGTAGCACATAAAACTTAACCAGTTTTTATTACACAATTTTTTCTCACTGAATTTTTTTGTTACTAAAAGCAGAAGTTATTGATGAATGACAATCTAGAAGTTACAACTTATTTTTTAGTACTTCTTGACTGGTAAATGAATGGGTTTTTTTATCCTTAGTCCTGTTTCTATTCCAAGTGTATGTAAGCATTACAGTTATTCCAAAATTGGTTTAGATGAATGAGTATTGAGTTTTTAATGGAGCTCTGTGTTCTACCTGAGTGATAAATAATTTTAGAAGTACTGTGAAGATGCAAAATACTAAGCAAATAATATATATTTATTACTGTAATGTTATTTTATTGGCAGTGCTCTCTGCTAAATTTTATTTCATTGTGCTGCTTTTCAATAGTTATGTCATTATATGTCTAGACTTAATTTGTCCAAACCAATTTGATCAGAGGACATTAGAATTTTTTAATCAAGTGGACCCAAGGTACTGGATAGCTGTTACTGTCGTACATGTTACTGTCATCTAGATCATGTTTTGTCCAGAGCTGAAGTGTCACATCTTTGTCTGGGAAAATGACAGGTATTTACTGTTTTATAGGAAGCAATCGTCCGCTACTTTTGCATAGGATTTCTTTTTGTAACTTTTCTTAGTAATCTCCATCTTTTTCAAAGTATTTCTCAAAACTCTTTGCACTTTTGCTTCTACTTAGTCAGATTGCTAAAGTTTTGAGGGACAGCGTGGATGGCCCTCATTTCATCTGTTCATAATGTTCCCAGATCGATTATAAAGTTAGCCAAATATAAATTGCATGTGCTTCATTAAATGTTTCTCACCAATTACAATGTTGTTTGTTATATTAGACTATATCTGCGTTATGGAATATGTGTTTTCTGCAGCACAATCTTCAGGACAGATCTATTGATTTTGAGACCTGGAAGAAAGTTACGGTTTGAGTATCAGAATTTTATCCTGGAAGGTTAACTCCTTAAGGTCACTTAAAAAGGTGGTGTATGCCTTAGCTTCATCCTGACTTTGAGATGAGATGCAACTAGAGCATGCATTGTGACCTGGGAGCTAAGAGGTGTTTCTGGGTCCCATGATACATGGATAACAGTAATGATATAAGGCTGTGGATGAGATTTATTTGGATATTTCTGTATGACAGCTTGTGCAGCAAATTCTGAATATGACCATGTACTGTTGTAATTGATTAAATAAAGGAGGATAAGCTTTTATGCTGACATTTGAGGAGGGGTTTATATTGCATAATGCATCTAGTCATTGAAATTTAATTAGGATGCTTCAATTAACACTTGCTCAAGTGTTTTTTGACTTCCAACAAACTATTTTTGTTTGAATGATGCTATAGCTAACAATGTGATGACTCTGCAGAGTTGCTTGTTTGTACAGGTTTCGGGAAAATGTGCCATTTGAATGATAAGGATCTCTTATATCGCCTACTCTTTCCAAATCAGAGCTATTTACCATATGACTACATTAATATAGTTCACTGAAAAACTTTTTTGTACGTGTGTAATTTGAATTATACGTGTAATGAAGTTAAGGTTGAGGGGTAGAGGAAAAAAAGGAGAAAACCTAAGATACATTTTTAAAATGTATAGTCTTCATCCATTTATTGGGTTTCCCTGTACAAAACAAAGTATCTTTGCAAAACCCTGGTCTCCGCAGGCTGATTGGTGAACCAGTTTCGGTTAAGTTTTGGTTTTGAGGCAAAACCACACAATCGTTGTACTGAGGATCGTTAAGTCCAGTGAAATCCATAGTGCTGCGATGTTGGGATATGCATCAGTGGAATCTGTGCAGAGTTAAAACACTCAATAGTAAAGTCATTGCTACTTTAAATTTACATTTACTGTTTAAAATAAAGTTGAATAAATTAAATTTTAAAAAATGCTGATCAGGCCTAGTACTCTGGAGGTCAGGTTGTGGACCTCTGTTTTTATGTAGCATGATCCCAAACAGGTAATTTATGGAAAATATCACATGCTTCAATAGACTTTGATTTTTTTTTAAATAGGTGAGGTTTAAGGGAATAATTAAATATAATTCTTCTGTATAATAACTTGAAAGCCTCATAAATGGAGATGTTCTTTGCTGCATGCTTTCTGAACATTTTTCAGACAATTGATTATTAAATGAACTGGTTTTGAGAAACTTAACGTGAGTAATTCATATGAAGGAGCATCATAAAAATAGTCTTACATAGATTATTTTGTTATTCTTTTTGAAGTGTCTTTTTTTTTTTTTAATATCTTTGAGGACTTAGTTATGCAGCATAGCACAGATTGTCTTCCCTGAATATTCCCATTGTGCATCCAAAAAAGTCAATGTAAAGATTGGTTTCAGTGAAGCTGCAATGAGCATAAAAATCACTAGGAACGCCCAAGAATATCTTGGGCAAATATTAGGAAATGCCAGGATCTTGCTTTTTAAATCTTTTTAATGACCAATTTAAAATTTGAATTTCTGGATAAGCATCCTTAGAATTGGTGCTTGGGTTTTATGTATGTGTGTGTGTGTTTGTTTTTTTTTTTTTCCTGATATACTGCTTTATCATTTAAAGTTAAGCAGATCCTTTTCTAGTAGGAGATTATAATTGACTTAGCTATGCGCTAATGGACGAACAAAAGACAGCGTGCTGTTCAATTCCTGTGTCTTGTTAATCTTAGGTGGTGTATTGGGCTGCAGTTAGCACAATGCAGTGTGAATGGCTGGCTGATGGCCGGCTGGATGGAGAGACAGCTGAAACTTAGGGCCGTGGTTATTATTAAAAACTAAATTCTGGAAGTGGTAGCTCAGAATAGCTTGAGAGATGTTTAGTCCTGGAAAGGGGTGGGGGGGTTGGGGAGGGGAAGAAGGTAGGAAGTAAAATGTCTGCCATAAGCCTCAGAAGTTCTGGTGATAGTTGCCCTTATGAGTCTTCCTCCTCCAGTGTGTGTTGCTACCTAGCACTTGCCAGGAAGCCTTATTAAATGTCTGAGAACTGTTGCAAATTGTTCTGCCCGTAGGCTCATTTGCAAGCAGGTTTAAATTTACAGTCTTTATATTGTTTGCCACACCATTAGAAGTCAAAGTGGTAACAGCTGCAATTCTGTAGGCATAGAAGGAACTCTACCGTCAACCCGCTACAGAAGCGTTTCCCACATTTCACTTGCAGATGTGATTTTGCTTGCATTTCTGTTTTAAAGTGCTGTTTTGTTTTTCATTAAGTTTACATTAAAATGATCAAGAAGAGGCAGACACCTCTTTTACCCGGTTCTGTGTTGCTTCTTTTTGAATAATATGATGGGTAATCTGATGATAATTGCATTGCAGAAGAATGTCATATACAGTGAATATGATGTTTATAGTCACACTTTAAATTTTGGTATTTGATTATTTTATAGTAGCTTGAGCAGTATCCACATCTGTATTCCTCACAATATGTTTGACCCCGTGATCATCTGGGATTTTTTGTAAGCTGACACGAAGATATTTTTTTGCTTTTTTTTTTTTTCTTTAAATAATTTGTTTAACTCAAGGCACCAAATGCTGAAGGCTGCAACTGGTGTGTATCAAAATAATGTGAAAGGTAGCAAAGAAGAGTTTTTGAGGGCATTGAAATCATCTGTCTCTTTGACTGATTATTTAGTGGCAAAACTTTCACCTGAATGCAGTAGCAAAGAAATTCAGAACACAGGTGGTGAAGGGTTGCAAATAGTAATGTGAAACAGGTGTTTTTCCCCCTATTTATAAGGCAGCTTTTAATGTCTTCCTTACTACCTTATATTTAAATAGACAAGTGTTCAATCAGCACTATAAAAATAGAATAGATTTTTTTTTTTTCCCTATGGAATGAATTAGATGATTATCACAAAGCTGTGGTCTGTGTATGTGTGTGTTTTTCGTTTTTTTTTGTTTGTTTGTTTGGAATATTTAAGGGAAGCATTGAACGGATTTTGAATATGATGCTGTCACCAGCTCTTGTTCTTTTGCATCCTCTTCCTTAAGGTTCTTTGAGGTCATTTATTTTTCCATATGCTCTAAGTCAACCAGTTTAATAAGGTTTTTTTTGGCACATGTTTTTGAAAATCATTCTAGATTATTTTAAATATTCTTTCCTTTTATGTAGTTTGGGAGCTTTACCCTGTCAGTCTTGATCTATCAGGTAGAACGTAGGCTGTTGGCTTAATGAATACTTAATGAAGAGCTTTAGGCAGTCATCTTAGTTTTTAATAGCTTTAGTTTTGGTGAAAGACTAAGAAAAAATACAAATTTCTCGTGAGGAGGGACGATTGGCAGTATTACACCTAAATCTGTTTCAGCAGTAAGACTCAGAGTGTCTTCATGCCTTTGGACCTGCAACAGTTGCTTCATTACTGGGCATTTCTCTCTTTCAGCCCGGAAGATGTATTTCATACCTCTCTCATCAGGGGGCAGGGGGAAAGGAGGGAAAAAGTGGAGGAGAAACAGTAAGAGAGTCTCATTCTGAGCAGAAAATTTTATTTTTCTTAGCACAGTTCTCAAGATTTAGAAATGTTTTTGGGGAGGAAAACTTTAAGGAAGCTGTTTGCTGACTGCCATAAACTGAAAAATACACGAGACTTGCGCTTATTTTACTCCTGGGCATTAAAAGCATAGTTCTTGGAAAAAAATGTAATGTTTGCGAAGAGCTAGTCCTTTATTTTTCTCTATAATACTACAAAGGCGATAGGTTATGCTCCCATTTAGCACAATTTAATGCACATTAGACTATGATTCTTGCAATTACAGTGACTATATCAACATCTTTTACTTTATTCTGTTAATTCTCAAAGCTGGAATTCACTGAGCATGACTAAAGGTCTTAAACTCGGAGTTTAGCCACTCTAGGATCCAGAGATGATTCAGGTGTTACGTGGTCTGAATTGTCTTCTGGAGAGTACTTTCGCTCTCCCCTGAATACAGAGGACTAATAGTGACTAATTTCAGAGCTTAAATGTCTAACATTACATGGAATGAATCCAGGCCTAAAAGTTGAAGAAGCGTAACTCTGTCCTGTTTTTTCTGTATAGCATCAGGCAAGCACTTTTGGATGCACGCTAGCTTTTCGCTATCTAAAGAATGTTGTATCTTTCTGCTGATAGAGTAGATCTAATATTGCACCAGATGTTCTGCTCAAAAACATCCTTCAAAAGCAAGCATGCTTTGCTTTTGATGAGCTGTTTCCTCTGGTGAACGAGCAGCTTCATAGTAACTAATGTTTTTAACAAAAAATATATGCAATAGCAATCTGAAAATTCCTCACAAAGTACAGTATGAAGCACTAAATAGCGAACACATCCCTTCCCCCAAGATCTAGCAAGAAAGATACAGATTGATTCTTTTCATTTTATGAAACTAGTAAATAGGAGTATCTGGTAGCTAGGACGAAATCTTCTAAAAGGGCCTGATCACCATCTGGAAAATTGCCCCCTTCACACAGAATATCTAGTTTTGTTGGCTAAAAGCGTTCCGCGGATTTAACTGATTTACTAAGTCTTAGACAATTACGCCTTTGAGAGGGTGGTAGCGAAATGGCTTGAAATAACTAGAGTAGTCATGAGAGAAAACTAAGGAACAGACACGTGTGCTGTTTTGTTTTTTGTGTTTCCACTGTATTCTGCTGTATCTCATTGGTTTATCCATGTTTCCCCTACAGAAATAGGGAAATCTAAATTTATATAATATTTACTAAGTGTTGTGGGTGACTTCTGATTTCAATTCTTTGAAATAATCATTAAGGTAACTTTTTTTTTTTTTTGGTATGACTTTAGGAAATTTCTTTCCAACGTTTTTTTTAGCCTGGCCACTTCTGGCTAGAAAGTGCTATTAATAAAGAATCTGGGATATTATTTGAGGATAATCATTCAATTCATTAAAAAGACAACAAATTTTTTATTGTAAAAAATAAATTGCTTTTCTCTTTCTGAACACACCTCAAATGCTTAACCAACTTCTCTGAGAATGATTTAAATTAAAATGATATTTTTGTGGAGTGTCAGAGAACACAGCCGAGCACCTTTCTAGAGTGCATATGCTAATACAATCCTACGGTAATCTGAAAGAATGCTTTCATTTTAATTTCTGTAAATGTGTAACACTTTGACATCTACTGATCTCCATATCACAAATGTGATTGCTTTGCATCTAGGAGAAAAGCCAAAAAAAGTCATCACTTAAAAATAAGTTTGTGTGAAGCTAACCTTTTTTTAACCTTCAGGTACAGAGGTTTTCAAAGAGCTGTATGGATATTAGCTAATTACCACAATAATCCTGTAAAATTTCATTATAGCTTATTTGCAACTTTCTTTCCTAGAGCTTCTTGTAGTGAAGAGAAAAAGGGGCAGACCGAAAGGGTCTACTAAGAAGTTCTGTGTGGATGAAGAAGTGACAGAGAATAGTAATTCTGTTCCAAGCGATGAAGCTCAGCCGGGGTCAGAGGAAGGACCAGAACTGGCTGAAGTTTCACCAGGCAATTTGGAATGTAGGAAATGCAGTCGGAAGTTCTCTAACGCACGTCAGCTGAGGAAACATATCTGCATTATTGTTTTAAATGAAGGAGAGGAAGAAGGAGATGGAGGTAAGAAAATTTCTAACAAAAATGTATGAAGTATGTTGCAGACCAATTAACATTTCTTTTAACATTCATTTTGATGAGTTTATGTAAAGGATAGTTAGGTATTTTGTCAAGCCAGAGTGGCTACTTACTGTTTCAGTGAAGGGTAGAATCATCAGGGAGAAATGGAACAGATAGAAAGCAAAACTGAGAAGAAAGTTAGGTATTTTAACATTTTTTTTTTTTCCCCAGGAAGGTGAAAATATTTATTGCACTAATAATATCCAGTGTTAAACTCACTGAAATGGTTCTTTTGCATAAGAAACTGTTCTATTTCTCACAAAGAGGATTATAGTTTTTGAGTGAGAAATGGTTTAGCCACATAAATAAGTATCGTACATAGGGAAAAGGAACGATGATCCTCTTGGGTTTCTAGCAGGTGACTTTGGAAATTTGAATTCTGTCCTGTTCTTTGGCTAGACTACAAACTCCAGTTTATTTCAAAATATTTAGTTTCTTTCTTAATAAGGAAAAATGGGGATCCTCTTTTATATTTGTGAGTCCTGGAATACGGACTTTTTTTGTTTGTCACAGCAGTATGGCTGGATATAGAAACAAGCAGGCAGCTGGATCTTGAAAACTGCTCTAAGGTCTACCACTGCAATGGGCAGTATGCTTAAGAAGCAACTTCAAAGTATCGCCATATTTTTTTTATATAATCTGAGTTGCTGTTCGTTTGCTTTTAAATTTAAAGACCACTTCTCTGAGTGGCTTGTTTTACTGCATTAAAAAAAATATTGCCAAACACGCCTCTTCTGTTTAACAAAGGTTCATATGGAAGATTGTCTTTGGAGTGTGAGAGTTCTCTGTTTAAATTTTGCTCTAAGATTGATTTGAATACATTTGGCCTCTGAAAAGCTTACATAGAATGCAGGGAACATCGATATAACTCTGCTCCAAGGTGGTGAATGTCACATACGTACAAAGCAATACATTCATCCAAGTTATCTAACTTGATCTGAGTTTTATATTTTTGTTTACTAACTAAATTTACTCCGCTCTACCCCTGTGGTACACAACTAGGATGAATCCATTGTATTCTGTGAGATGTAGAGTTTATGTAAGAACGAATAATTAAAATGTATTTAAGATGTGTTGACAAGAGCAGAGAAACTCTTTACTTTCATAAAACACCTCATTTTTTTCTACTGTTATCGGTGGTAGAATTTTTCAAACGCATGTAGTAACCCTCGGTCCAGCTGTCTCGTCTCTGACATGATAAGTGTTAGTGCCCTTTGCTGTTTGTACGTGTTAGGTACAGTATTAACATTTGCATTATTTCAGCAATGTAACCTTTTCTAAATGGCCTTTTCAAGTAAAATCTCAGAGGTCAGAGTATAAATTCAAATTAGCTGTTCTTGACCTGTTAGCTCATTAGAGCTGCTAAATCTTATCTAGATCCGTTTTCCAACATAACACATTGGCAGACTTTTCAAAGTAAACTGCCTAGCCTTTTCCTTCCTTAAAAAAAGGAAAAAAAAAACTTCAATTTTTAGGTGGATGGAACATTTTTTATTTATTTATTCTGGGGAAAGCAAACTAATTGGACAGAATAAGTCAAGCAGCAGATGATGAGGGCTTCGTGTTGTAGGTGATTAACGCACCTAGAATGTCTCCAGCCCAAAGCTTCCTATTTTGGCTGCAAACTGTGAAGATATTGGGTGCTCTTTCTTGCTTTGAAGGAATAATTCTTCCTTGGAGTACATCTGGAAAATCTTGTCTTCAGTCATCTACTGATTACTGTCTCATCACTAGAAAACTTACTCACTTTTGGCTTCAGCAATATGAAGCACCTATACTTTGGGATGATTCAATTTATGAATGTATATATAAAACATAGTGCATATTCTTATAATCCTTATAGAAAAAATGATTGCAGTCAGTAGCTCAAAACATTCTGATGAGTGGACAGGAGCAATATGGGGCTATGTCCGTACTTATATTGCATCACTACCTCAAAACACATTCTTTAAAATTTGAAGTCTTAGAGTTGTGCTATTGCCAGGCTCAGTTTTCATTAAGAGAAGAATTCTAGGGATATATGCGCCTTCAAAATATGAACAAAAATGTCATCATTTGTTTGCTGTTTTCATTTTAAGACGTTGTAAACGTCACTATTTAAAAAAAAAAAAGTGATTGTAATTTAATTGGGGCCTGATCATAATTTAAAAAAAAAAAAAAAAACACCTGAGAGTATGCCCAGATTCTAGTTGGCACAGCAATGTTGACAGTCCCTGAACTAGAGGTTGCATCCGGATTGTTGGCAACTGAAGGCTATTAAACTAATTAATTATCTAAGTAGGTTACAAAGCTGCCTCTATTCTGTACTCTGTTTTTTGTTAATGAGTTCCAGAGCTTTATTACTTTTGTTTCTTAAACCTGCTTCCTGCTTATTTCATTGAGTGCCACCTTATTCTGTAAATCTGAGAAACGGGGAATAATAATTTTGCATTAAACTCTTTCATAAGGTTCATGATTCAGAAATCTTTGTATTTGCTTTCAGATGATTCTTACCCAGTATATGTCTTAGATAACAGACTAATTAGACTATATGGAAACAGCTTATGCATTTGGTCATTGTTTTTAACAATTCTGTTGTAACCATTTTGAAATAGGTGACCAGAAGTACAAACGATGTTCAAGGTGCAGGTGCACTGCTTTATAGTATGGTAAAAATATATTTGTTTTCTGTTCTACTCTTTTCTTAATGATTCCTTAGATTCTGTTTACTTTTCTGAAAGCTGCTGAGTATTGAGCTTATGTTTTCAGGGAACTATTTAGAAAGACAGCTGGATCTTTCCTGCATTGTAAGAGCTAATTTATAGCCCATCATTTTATCAGCAGAGTTTCTTCTTTATGTCCTTTACTGTGCATTTATTGCAACTGTTGGTCCAGGTTAAATCCTATCTACGTATAGCTAGGTATGCACTAGGTTTTCAAAGCTTTAATTATACTCAGCAAGGACCAGGTCAGTACATTCATGGGCACCCATGATGCAGGGTTAGCTTCACTGACTGTATTAAAGTGTGTGTGTTTAACAAATATTTCACTTACATGAGTAGACTTAGTACCAATATTTTCTAGAATAAACTAGCCATGAGATACAGACTTCCTGACAGTATATGTGTTTTGGTTAATGTGAAATAAGAGTACTGAAACTTCTAATTTGATCAGATCTCTCTGTTGCTAAGTTACTAGAACTAGATAGAGAATTTTGGTGAGGCTCTTTGAACCTTTCAGAGTTGTGGTATAACCTCCCATGTTTCTGACACAGTGATTCAGAGCAGATAGCTAGAAATCATAAAACACTTTGACTAAATTCTTCTTGCATAGTCTTTGACCTCCTACTTAAATATTTTAATGTAACCCCCCCCCCCCCCCTTTATCTGTTGTTCAAGCTCTTGCCTTTTCAACTTGAGATTACTTCCATCAGTTTTGATGGTGCTTCTGGGACTTTGTATAGTATTTGTGACTATTTTCTCATGTTGTTCATGTCTTCCAAACTTTAGCATTATATGGGCATCTGATTAATAATCAGATATGTTTTCACTTGTGCATGCACAATACACCTCTCTGTTTAAAAAAAAAAAAAAAAAAAAAAAAAAAAAAAAAAAAAAAAAAAAAAAAAAAAAAAGCATAGATTTGGCAGTAATAATATGCATATATTAGTTTATGGTATTGAGCATGATTTATTTTTTGTGCAAGACTAATTAAATTGTGTCACTTCAAAAAATAGTGTCTTTATTTATGTAAACCTAAACAAGAAGAAAAACCTTAAACAACCCCTTTCCCAGGTAATAGCATTATCTGAGAACATTTGTACGTATATAGAAAATGAGAAATTCAAAGGTATTGTTTTCACAGCTGTATCTTCATTAAATTGTCTCACTTTTTATTAAGACTTAAATTAAAAATCATATTCAATAGTACAAATGAAAACTAGAAAAAACCCTACATCCACTCAAATATTCCAGATTATTATTTCTGTTTCTATGATTGCTTCAGTGCTGTATGAAGGGTTACAAAACTGTTGTACTATTAAATGACAGTCATTTCACATGAAAATAAGGACAATTTTCAATTAGAAGAAGGGTGAATGTAGGGTATAGCTAAAGATATGAATGTTGGATTGAAATACATAATCAAAATATTTTTGCTTAATGAATAAACACAAGTTATAATATGATTCAGATATTTTCTGCTACACTTCAAGATATTTAAAAGATGTACATTTGAAGGTGATATTCTTTACCAAGAGAGACATTGTAAGTGTAATGAGTTGAAAGTGAAGTTAAATATCAGCAGAAAGTTTCCAAGTAATAAAAAAAATTACTCTTTTCTATAGGACCCAAAGGGAGGTGTTGAAATCCTTATAATATTGGAGATACAAAATTGCAATAGATAAAACACTATAGAACTGTATTGAAACAGCACTGTGTATTGGTCCGAGAAATAACCAGTGGACATAACCGGCCTCTACTGTTCTTTGCTTCTGTAATTCATAATCCGCATTGGCCTCTCAGAGATCAGTTCCTCATTTATGGTTCTTCCTCAACTTCAGGAGTCATGAAGCCTCACCAGTTATTGACAACCTCTGTGTAGCTAATTGAATGCTTTGATGCATAATGACTGCCTTCACCTTACGGCCTTATTTGCTTAAAAAAAGAAAAAAGAAAAAGGTGTCTATCTTGCACAGAATTAAAAAAATATGTCCACTGTGCTTACAAATCACATACAAATATGCTCAGTAGATACTACTTTTTTTTTTTTTTTTTAAATAAAGGACTTATCTGCCTAAGAAAGCTGCTGTGATTTAAGCAGAGCTGTGTGTATACTTTTATGTTTTTATTTCATTAAATTAAATTCAGTTTTTTGGCTAATAGACTGAGTCTGGCTGATACTGCCACTCTGCTTTTTTATCCTAAGAGGAAGCTTGCACAGTTGAGCAGCAGCCTGAAGAGCCA